AAGCAGTCCTAAGAGGGAAGTTCATAGCACTGAATTCCCACATCAGAAAAATAGAACAAGCTCAAATAAATAACCTAATGATGCACCTCAAGGTCCTAGCAAAGAGTAAGGGATGGTGGTGCACACCTATAATCCCAGGACTTGGGAGGCTTGCTGCAAATTTGAGGCCAGCCTGGGTGACATAGTGAATTCAAGGCCAACTTGAACTCCCCATCTTAAAAAAATAGTCCTAGGGGGACAATGATTTAGCCCAGTGGTTCCAGTGCCTGCCTTGGAAGTTCAAGGTCCCGAGTTCAATTCCTGGTACAAAAAAAAAAAAAAAGTACTAGGAAAGCAAGAGCAATCCAAACCCAAAGCTTTACAATACAAAGAATCAATGAATCAATAGGCAAAGAATTGTTTCTTTGGAAGCTTTGAAAGATTAAACAAAATAGACAAACCCTTAGCCAATCTTACCAATGTAAGGGAAAAAAAAGACTCAAATTCACACAATTAGAAATAAAAATGGTTAAATCAAACTCTGTCAAAATCCAGAAGATTCTCAGTAACTACTTTGAGAAACTGTTCTCTAATAAAATGGAAAATTCAGAAGAAATGGATAAATTCCTAGATACATATGAACTACCAAAGCTGAAACAAGAAGATATAAAAATTCTGAATAAGCCAATATCAGTCAATGAAATTGAAGAAGTAATTTTAAAACTACCTAGTAAGAAGAGCCCAGGTCCCGATGGATTTACTGCCAAATTCTTCAAGAACTTTAGAGACGATCTAATGCCAGTATTCCTCAAAGTCGTTAATGAAATAAAAAAGGAAGCAGTATGCTGCGCAAGTGCAAGGACCCGAGTTCAATCCCCAGTACCAAAAAAAAAGGAAGCAGTACTCCCAAAGGCATTCCTGGAAGCCAGCATTACCATGATTCCAAAACCAGAAAAGGACCCAACAACAACAACAACAACAAAAATTCAGGCCAATCTCTTTAATAAACATAGATGCAAAAATCCTCAATAAGATACTGGCAAAGAGAATGCAGCAAATCATTAAAAATATCATACATCATGACCAAGTAGGATTCATTCCAGCAATGGAGGGATGGTTCAACATACACAAATCAATAAATGTAATATACCACATAAACAAAAGCAAGGAAAAAAAATCACATGATCATCTCAATAGATGCAGAAAAAGTATTTGACAAAATCCACCATCCACTCATGATAAAAAACCCCAAAGAAAATAGTACTAGGTTTTTATCTTAGTCAGATAAAAACCATCTAAGAGAAACCAATGGACAACATCACATTAAATGGAGAGAAGGTGAAAGCTTTCCCTCTAAAATCTGGAGCAAGACAAAAAAAAAAATCAGGAACAAGACAAGGATATCCACTATCACCACTTCTGCTCAATATAGTTCTTGAAATATTAGCTAGAATAATAAGACAAGAGAAAGAAATAAAAGGTATATGGATAGGGAAGGAAGGAGTAAAATTATTATTTGTGGGTGACATGATCCTATACATAGAAGACCCCAAGAACTCCACCAAAAGACTACTAGAACTAATATTCAAATTCAGTAGCATAGCAGGATACAAAGTCAACGCTCAAATATCAAGAGTGTTCCTGTATACTGTACACCAATAACAAACTCACTGAAAGGGAAATTGGGGAAACAATACCCTTCACATTAGCATCAAGAAAAATGAAATATTTAGGAATTAACCTAACCAAGAAAGTGAAAAACTTCTACAATGAAAACTAGTACTCTCAAAAAGGAGACTGACGAGGATATCAGAAAATAGAAAGATACCACTTGTTCTTGGATTGGCAGAAACAACATAGTCAAAATGGCCATACTTCCAAAACTGTTATATAGATTTAATGCAATCCCAACAAAATACCAATAACATTCCTTATAGAACTGGAAAACGCAATCTTAAAATTCATATGAGGGCGGGGGATTTAGCTCAGTGGTTCCGCCACCTGCCTCGCAAGCGGAAGGACCTGAGTTCGATCTCCGATACCAAAAAAGAAAAAAATTCATATGAAACCAAAAGACACTTATAATAGAAAAGCAGTTGTGAGCAACAAGAGCAAGGCAGGAGACATCACAATCTTGGACTTCAAGTTATACTACAAAACTAGAGTGATAAAAACAGCATGGCAGGGCCGGGGATTTAGCTCAGTGGTTTTGCCGCCTGCTGCGCAAGCACAAGGACCGGAGTTCGATGCCCAGTACCAAAATAAATAAATAAATAAATAAATAAAAACAGCATGGTATGGGGGCGGGGGGAAGACTCATGGATCAATGGAACAGAATAGAGGATCCAGGAAAAACTCCAGGCACACTTGACTACATTATCTTTGACAAAAGGGCCAAATCCCTTTGCTGGTGGAAAGACAGCCTTTTTTTTTTTGGTACCGGGGATCGAAAAAGACAGCCTCTTTAACAAATCTGCTGGAAGAACTGGGTATTGACATGCTGAAGGTTGAACCTAGACCCATATCTCTCACCATGCACTAAAATAAAATCAAAATGGATCAAAGATCTAAACATTAGAACAGACACACTTAATCTGCTGGAAGACAAAATTGGTAAAACTCTTGAGGATGTAGGTATAGGCAATGACTTTCCAAACAAAACCCCAGTTGCACAAGAAATAATACCAAGAATCAACAAATGGGGTCATAAGCTTCTGTACAGCAAAGGAAACCACCAACAGAGTGAAGACAATCTACCGAAAGGGAAAAAATTTTTGCCAGCTACTCCTCAGACAAAGGACCAGTATCTAGACTATATAAAGACCTCAAAGAAAATTAGACCACCTAAATTTAAAGACTCAAGTTTAAAAATCGGTATCTGAAATGAATAGACACTTCTCAGATGAAGTGGCCAATACATGAAAAAATGCTCAGTCAGCATCACTGACCATTCAAGAAATATAAATTAAAATAACACTGAGGTTCCATCTCACTCCAGAAAGAATGGCTGTCCTTAAGAAATCAACCAGTAACCAATATTGGTGAGGTTGTGGGGAGAAAGGAACATTTCTTCATTGTTGGTGGGAGTATAAATTGGTACAACCACTACGGAAATGGAGATTCCTCAAAAAACTAGAAATAGAAATTTCATTTGACCCAGTAATTCCCCTTCTAGGTATCTTCACAAAAGAGTTAAAGACATCACATCACAGTAACATATGCATACTTATGTTTATAGGAGCACAATTCATAATAGCTAAATATTGGTAACAGTCTATATGTCCATCAACAGATAAAGGGATAAAGCAAATGTGGTATTTATACCACAATGAAGTACTACTCTGCCATAAAGAAAGATAAACCTGTGTCATTTGTAAAAAAAAAACGCATGCACCTTGAGACTATAATGTTGTGATATGACTCAGACACACAAGTTTAAATATTGCAGTGTCTCTTATATGAAAAACTCAACAGATGATAGATATAAAGTATGAAATAAAAGACAGATAACAGGGAAAAAAGAGAATAAAAAGGGTACTGGGCCAGGGATTTAGCTCAGTGGTTCCGCTGCCTGCCTCGCAAGTGCAAGGTCCCGAGTTCGATCCCCGGTACACCCCCACCAAAAAAGGTACTGTAATCCACTGCAGACAATGTATCTAAAAGTGTACCTTGACTTAGTACAATTGTCATATGTGTTTTATATGTTCTTTGGCCTATTAGTCTGCTTTTCAATATATACAGAGTAAGGAGGCATGAGCTGTTAATTATAAAATCCCAGACACCTGTGCAGAACAGCTCCCAAAGCCCTGCATGTGGACTTCTGGCAAGAACTCGATCAGGACTTTGATAGGATGGCCTAGACTTGACATATGTGGGTGATACTAAAAGGACCATGGACCCTGAGCTCTCTGTTGCTGTGTTCTCTCACAGTGGCCCACCTCACACTGTAGGGTATACTTCTTTTCCCACTTTCAGTTGGCCCAAATTTGCTCTGTAGAACCTTTTCCTACCTCTAATAAATGTAAAATCTTGCTACCCTTTGGCTTGTATTGATCAATTCTTTGCTCAGGACAGAAAGAACCTGGACACTACCTCCAGAAGGTGAATCCAGTCGCCAAACCCAGTAACAGTTCCAGGAAATAATGCGTCTCATTTCTCTGAGCACCTACGCTCCACTCTCCAGTGCATCCTAAAATCTCTCCCTAATAAACCCTTCCCCTACCTCTTACATATGCATCCTGAACATCCTTTTTTTTCTGCAACAGGAGTCAGTAAACCCACAAACTTTTTCTACAAAAAGATAGGTCAGCTTATTTCAGCCTCACAGGCCTCTCAGACTCACCCTGGTGACAGCTTTGGTTAATAAATTATATCATTAAATTTTTAAAATTCTTAAAATTTTAAAAAATTTTAAATTATATTATTAAAATTTAAAAAATATTTTTGAAATGCTATAGTACTAAACTCAAATGTATTTCATCTTTAGAGAAAAATGCATTAACAATCTACAACCATGAAATGAAATGAAGAAGATGGATGTAGCTCAGTGGAGCTCCACCTGCCTGGCAAGCATGAGGCCCTGAGTTTAATTTCTGATACCAAAGAGAGAGAGAGAGAGAGAGAGAGAGAGATTGATCTTGGCTGGGTGTGGTAGTATGCACCTCTAACCCCAGGAGGACTGAGGTGGGAGAATTGCCTTGAGTACAAGCCCAGCCTGAACTACACAGCAAGACCCTATCTATTAAAAAAAAGAAAGAGAGAGAGAGATCTGGAATCATCCCTCTTTCTCCAAACACATGAGACTTCAGGGGCTTGTAAATACTGCCTGGCCATGATATGCCTCCAAATCACTAATATTTAACTTACATAGTATATAACCCCAACCTTGATTTACAAGATAATAAAAGAATATTTACATATTTATATATTTTCATCCAAGAAGTAAATGCTAAATTTTCTTAATGCACAGTAGTTTAAATGAAAAACAACAATCAATCACACTGATAAATCATTAGACTTACGTTTTTCCATTCCACTCCACAATCTTTGTAAAGTTAAGATAACTGTCTTCTCCAGTTAGGAAAACATAATCTCCATCATTAGTCCCATTTTTCTGAAAATGAATGAATATGATCATTTAAAGTAACTGTGGTGGAGGCCGGGGATTTAGCTCAGTGGTTCCACCGCCTGCCTTGCAAATGGAAGGACCTGAGCTCAATCCCCGGTTCAAAAATAAAAATTTTTTTAAAAAAGTAACTGTGGTGGTTAATTTTGTCACCTTGTCTAGGCAGGGTACACTATTGTTTGGTCAAACATTAGGAGTTGTTGTGAAGGTATTTGGTAGATGTAATAAATTACTGTAATCAGTTAACTTTAAGTAAAGGAATTTACTCTCAAAGTGTGGGTGGTGAAGCTGGGTGTGGGAGGGCATGGCTGTCATTCCAGCAATGGGAGGCTGAGGCAGGAGGATCCTGAGTTCCAAAACTCTGTCTCAAATAAAAAGGAAAAAAAAGCAGGTGGATGGTCTCATCCAACCAGAACAAAGGTTTAAAAGCAGAAAATAAAGCTTTCTGGAGAAGAAATTCTCCACAAGATTGCAACCTAGAAATTCTGCCTGAGCTATGATTTCTGGAAAATAGTACAAGTACTAGTTCCTTTATGATAAAATAATAGAAGAGAACAATTATTGAGTACAGACAATCCTTGTATAATAACCAAGTTCCATTTCACCAACTAGGTCATTAAATAAATCGGTCACTAAATGAGGAATTGTATATAGTATGTACATTACAATATTCAGAACAAAGAAATGGTCAACGGAAACTCCAACTTCATGACTTTGATTTTATTTGCATAATTCTTACATGTAGAATTGTAGTATATAATGGAACTATATATATAT